CCACTCGTCCCCTCCACACCCACCGAAGTTGGGTTTTCAGCCACGGTTACCGAAGCTGGAGTCCGCCGGAGTAACGACCTCAAGTTTGCTTCCATCTCATCAGTCAGTCGGTGATAGTATTCCGGTGGTAGCCTTAGCGTAGAGGCCACCCCAGTTCTGAGATTTGGACCATAGCCCGAGTGTCGTCTTGCCTCAGGAGACACAAACTTACAGGATTGGTTGTCATGCCCAATCCTTCCACAATCATAGCAGAAATCAGATAATCTTTCATACTTGTAATCCACCCATTTCTCTGAAACGTCCGAGGTAATTGGGTCCTTTCTCTTCAAGTGAAAACCTATTGGATGGGGCTTTGTGACTTCAATATCTACCCTAATCCTCAAGAAACTACGGTACAGAAGAAGCCCATCATGCGGGCCTTCAACCCCTATCGGACTCCCAATGTTGCTCGTAATGATTTGGCCATTGCGCCTGGTCATCCTATCCAATGGTAATCCATGAACTTGGACCCAAAAGGGGCAATGGGAAAACTCCATCTCTGAAACTGAACTTCCCGTTATCAAAGCTTGTAAAACCAAAAGATTACCCATTATCGACCAAGGTGCTTCCCGGAGAACCTTCTGTCTGTCCTTAGCATTTTCGAAACGAAATAGATACACATTATCTGCCCAGGGTGAAATGACCACTGCCTTTCAAATCTTCCAAGCATTTTGGATAATACGTGAGACAATAGGTTTATGCAAGACCTTCTGAGTCAAAATCTTGCCAACCAAACACAAATTAGAGTTATCAACACTCTCATCAGACCCCTCCTCAAGCTCAATCGCAGCATGAGCATCTGGAGATTCCATAATGGTAGTAAATAGGAGTAGAGGGAGGAGAACACCAGTAAAAATAGGGGCTCAGAAGATAGAGGGGAGATGCACACATACACACTAAAATAGTTCCAGCACATCACACTTTTAATTAGGATTAGATTTGCACTAATTATGTAGTATCTTAATTGAATTACACTTAATTAATCTTTGACTAGCACGCAACTTAATTAATCAAAATTCCCAGATAACTCAATTAGTCTGATAACCCCAATTAAGGCACAGTTAATTATAGTTTAACCAATTTGAATCAGATTAATTCAACTTATTGACATCATCAATTTTGATTTCTCAAATCATTAAAGTCTTCAATTTCAGATCATACTCAAAATTCCTCAATAAATTTCATATACAAATTAGACATCTCACAAGTAAATTCAATTCAAAATAATTACAATTTCCAATCCTCATAACTTAATTAATTTAATTAACTCCAATTAGGACTCAATTAATCACATCTTAATTTTACTAAATTGAATCGAATATTTAATTAAACTCTCATATGGTTCAATACTTGAAACTAAACAAACTCAACTCACCAATTTTACATTCTTAAGTCATTTAGGTCTTCAATATCTAACTCCGAAATAAATCTTTAACAAAATCATATACAAATCAGATTCAATAATGCTTTTCAATTCCACAATTAAATCAGAATAATAGGGAGTTAAAATTCAAACTTTTTTAATTAATTAAATTCAAAATATTATATGTGGCGGGGTTGTCACAGTATCGTTCAAGCTCGTAAAGCACATCAGAAATTCCGTTTCAATAATTTAAATTGTTCATTTTGTAAGGTCATTCGTGTATATTATTTATAATAAAAATTATGTCGGTTCGATAGTCGCAGCCATGGATCTTGTTTTGATAATCGAAGCTATTCATATGGTAGGATTCTTCATGTATATCATTCATAAAAACAATTCAGTGATCTGATAATCCTAGTCACAGATCTCGTTTTGATAATCTAAGATTCCATTTTGATAATCTAAACCATTCACTTTGTAAAGTTTTTTATATTAAAAAACGAAAAAAGAAAATAGGTCAATTCTATAATTTGACCCTATTCAATTTGCCATGTTTGTCTTTAAAAAAGTTGACTTCAAGTGTGTTTTTTAAAATAGACAATTTATTTTTTAGCGACAAACACAATAAATTGAATATGTTATAATTATTCGATCGATCAAGTTTTTTTTTTTTATATAAATGATCTACACAAAGAATTTTACAAAATGAACTGTTCATATCATTGAATTGAAACTCATGATGAGTCCCATGAACTTTAACACCACTTTTCAATATAGATCTAAATTGAAGGGAAGTTCAGCCCTAATTTTATGAGTAATGTCATGACTCCAAAAAAATAATCAAAATATTATTTATGACACTCGTATGGGTGTGGGGACATGTTAATTCGAGTATTGTTTAAAATATTTGATAATTGATTAGATCGTCAGTAATTCTGATTCACGAAATCTATTATTAGATAAATTTTGCTTTTTCATTTTTTAAAATCCCTTTGGTTCCCTGTTTGAAAGTTGCAGTCATTCAACGAAAGCTATGTTACATTACATTAATCCTGAACGTCCTTCAGCTTTTATCTTCTATTTGATTAGTTAGAATCGCGAACAATATAATAGAATGATCATTCCTTAGTTTTTCTCATGAAATAATTATTT